GGGTCGGCTGCCTCGGGGGGCCGGGCGGGGGGGGATGCTGTGCAAGGGCTGAGCACCGGGCGGTTACTGGTCCCAGCGACGCAGGCGGTGCTGCTCTGGGATTTCCCGATGCACCCGGGTGTGCCAGTCCCCGACAGCGGCACCCGAGTGCTGGGGTCGCATAAGGGTGTCCCACTAGCAGTCTCCCAACCCTCAGACACTCCTGGCGTGGAAACCGATCTTTGGTGTCACATTTATTAGGGCTTTTATATCTCTTTATTGACGGTACAATGATACCTTTAAAAATCGTGAGTCTAAGTTTCCCAGGGCAAGCGGGTTGTTGGCTCAGCCCTGGAGATCAGAGGCCACGGAGATGCCACCTCATCTCAAGTCCCTGTTCCTAGCAAGAGCATAACTTCGGGGAAGAAAGCAGCACAATTATGTCAAGAAACCAGAATAATGTATCGGGCTCCCTCCTTACAAGACTGAGAGCCCAAGGGTTGAGTCCTTTTGGAAATTCAACCTGGAGGAATGGATCCAATGATACATGTGGTGGTGGCTGCCACCAGCCCGTGCTGGGTTCCCGCCTCGGCTCCATCAGGGAATGGGAAGTGCGTTAAAGCACCTGGTTTGCCTCAGCTGACTTCTGCCACCGTCCCACAGCTCCAAGCAGCAAGAGAAGCTGGTGACCAGTGAGCAAACAAGCACTGCTTGTTCCAGAAATGAGATTTTGGGAGGGGACAGCCTGTTTCACGTAGGAGAGGCAGCCCCATGCCACTGTGTTTCCCGCAAAGGTGGGAGCTTCTCCTGGTGTTGGGTCCAGAAAACCCCAGGTGAGCTTGCTGTGTGAAGTCCACCCGCTGCTTTGCTCCCAGCTGGTCCAAGCCACGTCCTGCTCGGGACCCCCCGGGCTCCTTCACAGCGTGCAAGGCATTGAAAGCAGTGGACTTGCTGCAAGGCTTTCCCACACAAACCCAGCCCAGCTCTCTCCCGGCGGGAGGCTGAAGTTGGCAGATAAGGGCAGTTCTTCACCGGGCCTCACGCCGTCACAACCCAGAGCAATAAATAAAGCTGCCGTGATTACAGCGATCAGCGCCACGGCTCGCTGCGCTCTGGTAGAACCTGCCCCACTCGTGTGCTGAGGGCAGGGCTCCTCTTAACCCCAGAAGGTGAGTGCCTGGCAGTCCTAGTATGACCTTTGTTAAAATAATCAGCCTGTCAGAGCCCGGGTATCCAGGCTAGAGGGACTGAAGTGACCGTCCAGAACGAGGTGTGCCAGCCTGATGCCGTAGGGAGGGACGCTGGTGCCATCCCCCCACCCGGCGCTGCCAGGGTCAGCACTGCCAGGGTCTTCACACCCTTCTCCATCTGAGCGCACGGCCAGGGCCGCCTCGAGCTCCTCTGCAGCAGAAAAGGGAGCGTGCGCACGGCCTGACATGGCAATTGCAATCCAACTGAGGAGGAGGAGGATGCAGAGGACGGGTCTGGACCAGCACAGGGGTCTGCACCTTGCAGCAATGCAGCTTCTCGGTGCTGGAGCAGGGACCAACCCAAGGCGAATGAGCAGCGAGGGGGAAAGATCAGTGCCCTGCTCACCAAACGCTGATGTCCTGGTCCCAGCACCAGCAGCCTGGGGGTGGCTGCGATGTGGGCATGTGCTTAGCCCACCCCTGGGACAGTCACAGCTTCACTTGGCGCAGGAGGGGCGAGCAGAGCAGGTCTGCAAGCACCCCAGCAAACACAGCGGAGCTACAGCCTGGAAGTGCAAACCCACCATCAACCAAGTCCTGAGATGCAGAAAAACCCACAGCTGGAGCATCTGCGTGGCAGCGGCAGCTCGGGGACGCGGCTGGTGGCCCTGGACCCCTCGGGCGGGCTGGCTTGGTGCTCTCCCACGGAGCCTCCGCTGCAGAGCCTCTTCTCCCGATGGATGCTCACCCTCATCTTTCCTGCCGACCTGCCCCAAAGGGCACACAAGCCAAGACCTATCTGCCAGATAAAGGGTGGGAAGGAAGCAGCGACGTGAAGCCGGAGCTTCGCACAGCCTGCTTACACAGATACGGGCTTTCCCAAAGGCGCTGCTGATCTCAGCTATCGGGATCTTTCCACGACACAGCCTGCGAGCTGCAGCGGGGTTACGAGACACCGCAGACGCAGAAGGGCATGGCTTACCCCCACCCTGCACCCCGAGACACCTTCCCCGGGCAGCCCGGGCTGGGGGGCACCTTGCCCCGGCCTCCACGTGCCTTTTCCATCTGAGCCCAAAGTCAAAACCACGGGTCCAAGCAGTGGGATTCACCGAGAACCGGTGGGGAAGGAAAGCCCCTGGGCAGGTATCAGAGCATCTGAGGAGAATCACCGGGATGTTTCCACGGCTCGAGGGGAGCAGCCACTGCATGCGGTAATAAACACCTGAGAGCAATCTTCAGAGAAGAAACCTGCCCTCCGTGACTTTTTGCCCTGCTCAGCTTAACCCAGAGTGGTTTTGCTCAGGATTCAGTGGCCAGGGTTCCGCTGGGGGTTGGCGCACCCCAGCCAGAAGTGGTGGGAGATGCAGTCTCCTGCGGTGGCAAGGGTCGTTCTTCAGAAGTGCCACCACAAAAGGTCACTGCAGGAAAAAACTGTATGAAAGAAACGCTGCTCCTTCCGAAAGAGCCCAACAGCTCTGCAGTCCACTGCGGGATGCTGTGTCCCACGGCAGAGCCTTGCCGGCAAGGAAGGGCCCAGTCTGCTCCCAGAAATGTAACACGGGGTCACGGGAGGATCGGGCACTGTCCCACCGGCAAACACCCGTCCCGGGTCCTGCCTTCGTACCACGAAGCGAGCGCGTGGTTAAAAACGAAACGGGCTTGTTCATGCCAAATTATCTGGTCTTTGCATGGGGGAGGAAGAGGAGAAGGAGGAGCAGAAACACCTTCCTCTCATCTCTGGGAGCCAGCAGCGTTCAAGCGGTGAGAGGAACCCCCCTCCACCAACCACCCGAAAAACCAAGCAGTGGCTGAGCCGGGCGCTGGAGCTCTCGTGCCCCGCGGTCCCGCGCGACGGCGTTTCCGCACTTGTCTGCTGCCTGGCGAGCGTTACAGGAGCAGAGCTGAGAGGGAAGACGGACTGTCCGAGGGGGCTTATTTCACCTCTCTGTTCTCTCCAGAAATGCTCCCGGGACTTCTGTCTCCAGGAAGGGGGCAGACACCGTGGTGACGGGCATGTAGGACAGCTGGCAGTCCTAGGAGAAACACGGAGCCTGCTCCACCAAGAAGCTACCGAACAAGGAGGATGGGGAAACTGAGGCACAGCAAGCACTGTGCCTTGATGGAGCCTCACATTCTCGAAGCGGTGCGCGTTACTCCCTGGGCTACTGCAGCCACCAGCAAGTGGTCTTCTCACCACCACCCCCACCCTATGCCCTTTTTGCTTTTTCTTCCAGATTGTTTTAAGCAGTGATTTTTGCAACAGAAATTTATAAAAAAAATCAAAACCTGCGATCACAGGCGCTTCCCATTCCCCCACCCTCCAGCCCACACTCCCAGCAGTACCATTACAGCGTGTGCGGGAGATGATTGAAAAGAAAGACACTCTGGCAAGAGCCGTAGCTTGATGTAACCAGTAGTGCGTTGGGATACATAAATGAAAAAACGCTGCCTGCAGAGATGAATATGTCCCTCCTACGAGGCCGGTGTCTCAGCCCAGCAGCACCAGCAAGGTTCGAAATTTGCTTTGATGAGCTGCGAGGGCGCGTCGGAGTTACCTGAGCCTCCGCTTTGCCTTCCTTCAGATGTGAAGTGAAATCAATAAATGGAAAGATGCATTTCAGGAAACCGATAAAACTGGGAAAAAAAACCCCACAACCCACCCTCCAAGAAAAGCTGTGGGACTGGGGAGGCTGAAAAGAGAGCGGCAAAAGATCAGAGAGGTCTGGAAGGAAAAAGGAAAATCACTCATTGCTTTGCTGGATGTAAAATCAAGTCCAACTGACATTAATATCAAAAGGACGCCCTCACCATTGGTTTTAACGGAGGATGGATTGGGTTGGAGCAAAGTGAGAGGGAGGAATGGCCCGGGGAGAGGACAAGGAAGACCGTGGGTCTCTCCCATCCCTACTCATCCTGCTGCCGAGGCATTTTCTGCAGGTGAAGAGAACACTCAGGGAAATCCAGGTGTTCTTGGGGGGACCCACAACACAACTGTCATCTCCCAGAGGACGCCTGCACCCTCGCGAAGCAACCGCGGTGGTGTCAGGGGCCTTGGGTTTGCTCCTGGCTCTGCTCTTCTGTCCCCACTGAACCGGGCAGGATGAGTGCATCCCCTCCGCTGGGATAATCGTGGTTCTGTTCCCTTGGCTGTGGTCACAAAGACCTCCAGCAGCACCGCTTCATTTCTACAAGCGGTGAAGAGTCCTTGGGTTATTTGCTCCTGGAGTTGTGCTGAGGAGCCTCCAGCCGCTCTCCCTGTGCCCAGCTCGGCAAGGTCCCTGGCAGGGCACGGGTTTTTTCCTCTCCCCAAGATTCCAGAGGGGTTTAAAATCAAAACATGCACAAAAATAGGTCCTGTCGAGTTGAGCTGTGGTGGGATTAAAGGGCAGTTCTGAAAGCACATGGGGCGTATCGTTACTTTTGGGCACTTAGAAAACATCCCAAAAACCTGGCAGCAGGCAGCCGGCCCTGAGCACAGGCATCACTGCTGGGGAATAAATGTGGCACATGGTTAATCTGCCCCCTTCCTGAATAAACTGCTCTGGCGGAGGCAGGGCCTCTCCTCCCTCCCCTCAAATCAGCCTGCGCTGTGCCTGCTGCTCGTCGGGAGCTCCCGAGCTCGTCCTTAGGCGGATGCCGGCGTTTATTTGAGCAAGTCTCGGTATTTATGTATCTCATTACAGCTGCAGCCGGTAGCATCTGTTTCCACGCTGTAACTGTCAAGCAGCATCTTATCAGCGGAGCTGCCTTCCCATCCCACAGAATCACAGAATCACAGAATGTTGGGGGTTGGCAGGGACCTCTGTGGGTCACCCAGCCCAACCCCCTGCCCAAGCAGGGTCACCCAGAGCAGGCTGCACAGCACCGCGGCCAGGTGGGTCTGGAATATCTCCAGAGAAGGAGACTCCACAACCTCCCTGGGCAGCCTATTCCAGGGCTCCGTCACCCGCAGAGGGAAGAAGTTCTTCCTCATGTTCAGACAGAACTTCCTGTGCTTCAGTTTGTGCCCGTTGCCCCTTGTCCTGTCGCTGGGCACCACTGAAAAAGAGTTTGGCCCCATCCTCCTGACACCCACCCTGCAGATATTTGTAAGCATAAAGCATCCCTCCTCTCCTTCCAGCTAAGATCACGCTGAAGTTTGGGAGACAGCTGACAGCCTGGCGCGGGATGCAGCCAGCACCCGTGGTCCAAACCTCGGCCATGGGCACCCCAGCAAAGGCATCTGCGGGTCCAACCGCGAGGCTGCCAC